TACCACCGTTGGTGTTCATGTCAACCCTATACAAAACATCACGAATACCTACAAGTAGGCCCATATCTCCTTGACAGCTAAGGGCATTTCTAAAGTGGACCCTCAAACCGCTCGCAACCGTTTGAACCATGCGGTCTGGCCGTGTTTTGCCATCCAGCATGGCCTTGTATCTATCCGTTGGCCCGTCCGTACGTCATTTTTTTCCGTAAATTGGAAGCAAACTAGGAAGGCTTTGCGAGAGTCTGGATAACACCAAATAGGACTCCAACATCCCCGGCCTACCCAAAACTCCTTCGGGACCCCGCTTCTCCACCCTTCCTCTTTCTTTGCATCTGTTTTCTCTCTCGCCGATGCCATTGCAACTCCTCCCAGGCCGCCCGCCAAACCCTTCCCGGAGCTCCATGACCTCCACCGTTATACCCTTGCTCCAATGCCGCTTTCCCTCCTCCGCCGCCGCTGGTCCACGCCTCTCTCCTCCGTTTTGCAGTTGTTCGTGGACCTGCTAAACAATGTGATCCGGATACCTTGTGGGAGGTGATTACATGTTGTGTGATCATGCATTAACAAATTCATTAACAAATGTGATCCTATCGACCCTTCAAAGCAGAATCCGACCACATTTGATGGGTTTGTTCAAATACATTAACAAATTCAGTATCGACCAGCTCATGTGCAACTGAAAGAAGATTTGATTGAGCATCTCTTAGTGGTTAAAAGGGACAATTAGTACATATGTGTAGTTGAATTCAAGTTTGAACTACTTTAATTTTAAAAAATATTGGATTGTAATATTTAAATTAAAACTGCCAATGCATTTGAATATTTTTAGATAAACTATCACTTGATATGCAGTTATTTTGAGCTTATGTGCTTTAAAAAATGCTGAGTGTTTGCGGCTAGTTTTGGATCACCTGCTTGCGCATCAGTGTATGCGGACTGGTCCCATCTCGTCTGAGGACGGATCCGGTATCCGATTTGGAGGTCAGCGTTGGAGATGCATAAGCTCACTCGGTCACTCTTACAAATGGGCTCCACCAATAACCCTCCAAAGCCCCAAGCCACCACAACCATCCTAGGACAGGAATTCATTAGAGTCAAACAAGCGAGCAGGACAGATCAGAAAACCATTTCCATATAAACGGACTAATAATAAGTTATCTCTATATATGCAGATGGTGATTGTCTTGTTCATCTTGAATCAGCCGAAACCTATGTCCACACATTCGCCTGCCACGCCAAACTCATTTCGAGTTTCTTCGTCAGCTAACCAACCAATCAAATCCACAACAACGAACACCCTGAAACCCACCGACCCGGCAACACGGCAACACCATCTCGAAACCTCCATAAATTTACCTTGCCAAGATAATAACTGCGCACCTGCACCGACGACACCTACATTACACACTGGAGCATCGATCATTCTCGCCCCTTGATCACCCCGGCGTTTCTGTACTTGTACCGGATGGCCAGCACCAGGAAGAAGACGTAGTTGAGCGCGCTGAGCACGCACATGAGCCAGTAGAAGCGCTCGAGGTGGTAGTGGTTGAGGCTCGCCCCCTCCAGCCACGCCCGGTGCCCCGCGCGCCCCGTCGCGCCGTTCACCACCGTCACCAGCACGGAGCTCAGGTAGTACCCCAGCGCCAGCGACGCCCACGACAGCGACGTCGCCAGCGACCGCATCCGCGGCGGCGCCTCGCTGAAGAAGAACTCCAGCAGGCCCGCCAGCGTGAACAGGTCCGCGGACCCCAGGAACAGGTACTGGAACGCGATCCAGAAGAAGGTGATGGGCAGCGGCGCCGCTGAGTCCGTCATGCCGGCGCCGGCGGCCGCGTTCTTGCGCTTCGCCTCCACGACGGCGGCCACCGCCATGGCCACGATGGAGAGCACCAGCCCGGTGCCGATGCGCTGGAGGTGGGTGATGCCCATCTCCGTGCCGGTCACCCGCCGCGCGAACGGGACGATGATGTGGTCGTAGATGGGCGCCAGGAGTATGATGAACGTGACCGGGAACACCGGCAGGGACGCCGGCGGCACCTTGAGGCCCCCGACGTGGGTGTTCATCGTCGCCGCCTGCTCCACGGAGAAGGTCGAGAGCTGGGCCAGGCAGCAGTTGAGCATGATGGTGGAGAGGAAGATGGGGAGCACCATGAGCACGATCTTGACGTCCTCCACCTCCTGCACCGTGCACGCCAGGGCCCTGTGCCGCGGCTGGCACTGCACCGCCCGGTTCAGGCCGCTCAGCTCCTGGGACGGCTCCGTCACCTCGTCGGCGGCGGCGCCCGCGCCCCCGGGCTTGCAGTACTCCTTCATGTCGGTGCTCCCCGTGGGGCTGGGCGCGCGGTCGATGACGGCGCCGTGGCTGGCGCTCTGCGTGCCCCCGCGGCGCGCGGAGGCGGCCGCGAGCAGGACCTTGGCGATGGTGACGAGCGGGCTGCCCGTGGGCACCTTGCTGCGGTAGAACCTGGAGCCGGCGGCGAAGACCGGGATGGAGAGCAGGATGGCGATGGTGGAGATGCCGAACCCCCACTGCCACCCCTTGTTGTCCTCCACCCACACGGCGAAGGTGACGGCGATGAGCGCGCCGCAGGAGAGGCAGAAGACGTAGTAGTTGAAGAAGGTGGAGCGGCCCTTGCGGCCGCGCGGCGTGTGCTCGTCGAACTGCTCCGCGCCGTGCGGCGGCAGGGAGCCCTTGATGCCGCCGATGCCCAGCGCCGTCAGGTACAGCCCCACGAACAGCATCGCCTTCTTGCTCCCGGCCACCGGCTCGCACGCCGCCGCGCCGGCACCCTTGGCGCACTCCGGCGGCATCAGCGACGGCGACCGCGCCTGGATCGTCAGGACCACCAAACCCTGCGCGCCATCCCAAACATTCAAACACCAGCTCTCTATTACACTCAGAAATGCACCAAACGGAATGAAAATTTTCCGGTGTAAAATTAAGTGGGCTTGTCCAAAAAAATATGTTTGATATGTTAACGCAGGCCATTGGCCCATACGTTCTGGGCCTGACCCAAAATACTAGCATTTCGCTGCCATTCGCTAATGCGAAAAAAACATGGCTCACATGAAGTACTACTACAGAGTACAGACACTGGTTCTGGTTGCATAATTGCATTCTTTTGAAAAAAACTTTTTTTTTGCGTAATTGCATTGGTGCGACATGATTAGATGGAGAACCAGTTGCAGCTAACATATCAGATTATCACGTCGAAAGATTTGGCAAAAACCTGCATCGATTAATCGAAAGCGATAAAGTTCCACAGGGACCATGCAAGTGGGCGCCGTGCTACCTGTGGCCGGCCGCCCGTGCGCTACGTCGCTTTGGCCCTCTATAGGCTCTCTCGTCTCGGTCTCGACATGGTCCGTGAGCTCGGTGCTAAAGCGGAGGAGAGGACACCGACCCACTGCAGATGGCGCCGTTTGACCGGCGATCTGGCTGTGCGCCATCCGGGTTGTTGTCCAAAATTTTTGCTTTGTGATTAGTCAGCGTTGACTACAAAAATGCATGGTCAAACAGGTGAGCATGTGATCGTCGTGGATCTTGAGGTCAGAAACCAAGCAGAAGCACCAAGCTCCAGAGCTCCGGAGACGAGGGTCGACGCGGCACGCACGCACGGTCGCTCTCCCCGTTTGGTCCCGGCCCGATCCTCCGGCCAAATCACCACCGCCCTCCAGGTACCCCCGCACCGGGTCTTCCGGGCATGCACTACGTACGTGACTGACGCCGACACGAGAGAGCCCAGCACTTGCTTGTGCCAGTGGACGCTAGTAGCAACTACAATTCGACGAAGCGAGGCCAATGATAAGCAGATGCTTCACACAGTACGTGATATTGCGTGCCCGCCCATCGCTCCTAACGACCCGTCTCCATTCTCCTCGCTATCGACCGGCCGATTCCGTCTCCAACGGCAACAAAAAGGGGGTGCAACAGGTGTGGACAGATGCCGCGGCCGAGAGAACCAACGGCAGCTGCTTTAGCGTGTGGTGGCGGTGGTGGCCATCCGCCCGGGCAAGGATTGGTCCAATCGTGTCGTGGCATCATCGCGCACACAAGGAAGATCTTGTGCGATCGACGGTAGCCCGGGACCGGGTCAGGCGAGTGGTGCGTGCGTGCGTGCGTGCCTGACGGGACGGTCAGGTCAGGTCGGGTCAGGGCCAGATTCCCCTGCCGACCCCGGCGCCGGCGGATTGGCCGGCCGGCCGCCAGAACCAGACCGCGCGCACGCACGCCCGCACCGGATGACCGGAATCGGATTGCCTGTCGCCCCGGGCCCCGGTGGGAGGGTTGTTCGCATGGGCCCGCGATCGCGACGTGATCGGAAAGTGTGGCGCCGCAGGGCGGGCGGCTTTGTTCGCTTGCGGCCGCCAAATTGGTTGCTCAGTGTTTTTTTTACATATAACATGGTAATAAGATTTGCTCTTCGCACATAGTACTACATCCGTTTTAGACTCACGATGTCACAATCTCGTGTGAAAAAGTGCGTGGGATAAAGAAACTGCCGAACTTGATTAACAAAACATTTAAAAAAGCTGGTCAGGCACTGTGAGCAGTGGAGTCGATCTTTCTCCTAGCTCCGCCACTGCGGCGACCACACTTTAGCTGCTGCTTCTTTCGCATGCTTTTGCCATCATGATTGGACAAACCAGATGCGCGTCAACACAGCCGGACCATCCAAACACGCCCTGTGTCGAACGGTTACTGATGCAAATTATGTTCCACTTGCGTCGCCTACACACACGATCCGCCACCCACGTCCCTGTACCCTCTACGTCGTACACACCCGCACCCATCACGCCCGTCTACGACGCACGTTGGAACTTGCACGCCCATCCCAGCGAAAAGTCTCCCGACGGCCCGCATGTCAGCGTCTCGGGGCGACGTACAACACACGAACAATATCTATGTATATCTAAACTAAGAGATGGCCTCGCCAGCCGGTCAAACATGCATGTCGACGTACGACGTGTACGCGAGACCGGCCGAGGAGAAAAGGAAAAGTGAAATGTCAATTCGGCCACGTGGTGGCACACCTGGACGAAATATTCCGGTGTGTATCTACCAGCTCGGAGATGTGATAAGGACAACGTTAACTATATCTATGTATATCGTCGATCTACCATGTACGATAAGTCTAGAATAGCCCACGCAAGTTTTTTTTCCTCCATATTAATTGCGCTATCTACGTATATCCAGAAACGTTGGTCTACCACGTAGTACGATGAGTCTATTATAGCCCACGCAAGTCTTTTTTGTCGGTGCATGATGCAAATTCACCAGCAAAAATGGACAGCCAGGCAGCTACTATTACTACTGTACTGAAGTAAGCGTAGTAATGATCGAGAGATGGCAGGTACGGTAGAAATCTAAGATATTTCGGCGGGAGTGCGTGCGTACCATGAACTCGACGAAGGCGCTGATGAGGTAGACGGCGTAGGTGGTGCAGACGGCGTCGGAGAGGAAGCCGCCGAAGAGGCCGAGCAGGAAGGCCGTGCCCATGAAGTTGGTCACCGTCGTCGCCGACTGCGCCGGCGAGTAGTGCATGGACTTCATCAGGTACGTCACCAGGTTGCTCGCGTTCGCCAGGAACGCCAGGTTCTCAAGCACCTCCGCCACTGCATGCACACGGCAACGGTAATGTTACCAGCGATCATAACATGTGTGCTGCATATAAATGTACTCCCTTAATACCTAAATATAAGAGTTTTCAGAGATTTTAATACAGACTACATACAGACCAAAACGAGTGAATCTACACTCTAAAATATGTCTATATACATCCGCATGTAGTCCATATTAAATAAAATCTGTAAAACGGCTTATATTTCAAATTAACCTGAAAGAAAAAACAATTCACAAGTGTGCAAAATTAGCATATGTAAGCTGCAGGCGCAGCATGTGCGGTAATAACTGACATAACGC